GGAGACCAGCTACTGTCTCCTCTAGCAGGCCTTTCCTGAGGTTCCTGAAGAAGGGCCAGAACCAGTGAGGTCCTAGTGGGTCTCTGTGGGTTGGGATCAGGGTGGCCCTGTGCCCTGGCCGTGTGGGTACCCTTTTCAACTGGGAAGCATGGTTGGAAGCCAAGATCTTCACAGTGGTGGGCTTGTTGGTGCCAGCTGGGTGGAGGGATGCCTTTGCAGAGATGGTCCTTGGTCTGAAATGCTTTGCAGAGACAGTCTTCTGTCTGAAGCACTTCACCTCGTTCTTGCCTCCCAGGGGCCTTGGGAGAAGGAAGGAGGGAGGCTCACGCAGTCATGATGGAAAGAACATGGGTTCTGGAGGCAGATGGGCCCAAGGTCCAGCCATGCCACTAACTCTGATTAAGTTGCTCTGTAAATGGAGAGGATGGCAGTCAACCCCAGAGGTGGCATCTAACAGGACAGCATGAATGGGACAAGCCCTGTGGGCTTCTTGACATCCCCCTGCGGTGGGGTCAGGAGGTCCAGGCTGTGCCCCTGAGAAGCTTTTAGTCCCTGGAGATGCGGACTTATAAACAGAAGCGTTTTAACGCGGCTTCACAGCGGCTTTGTGCCGTGTTTGGAATGTCAGGAGGAGGGCACCTCCCCCTGAGGGAAGCAGAGTGGCTTCGTGGCAGTGATGGCAGAGGATCAAGGCAGTGGGGAAGCGAATGCTCCAGTGGCTGCCAGAGCAGACTGCAAGCTGGGGGCTGTAGTGGTGGAGGTGCAGCGGCCGAGTCCTCCGTTCCGTCCTGCTGCCCGGATGCCCTTCACACTCTGTTCTTCCCATGTGCCCCGGGCCAGCTCTCAGCCTTCCCACAGCTTTATGGTTATCCAGTTGTCTGTGGTGTCCTGACGCACTTTGCACCTTTCTCTCCTAGAGTAGGAGGGCGGGGATTCTTGGGGTGTCTGTATCCCAGCCTCCTGTTTGCAGGCCTGCACCCACCGTGCTCTTCTTGGTGATTGGATTGCCTGGCCCGTGGCCTGGGCCTTTGGAGGGCCCAGTACTGGACGTGTGCACAGGGTCATCTGGCCTTGGCTTCATTGGAATCTGGACCTTCAACGCTGATCAGAACCCTTTCCTCTGGGTTGTGAGGAGCATTCAGTAGCAGCCTCTGTCTCAGCTGGTAGCCTGTTACTTTTCTTCCTTGGCCTTATTGTGATGAGCCAGAGAGAACAACTGGCTCCATCTTGACACGCTGATACCCCCATAAAGTTGTTTTTCCTTAAGCTATAGGTCTAGACCACCTCATCCTGTTTCAACTGAAAAGCTGCAGGCCTAGACCACTCCATCCGTTCTAGAAGAACGTGGTGACCCTATGCCAGCCAGAGAGACAGACCACACTGCCAGGTGTTTTCTATAGGTGTTGCCTATAGACTTGCTGGAGCAGGTATAATGCCTTTTCAGCTTCTGTAAAAGTCTGCTTGCAAAGGCTGAGTCCTAGTTCAAGCCCTCAAAGCAGATGAGGCCCAACCACAATGCTAAGGAGTTTCTCTACAGGTATTATTTGCTGGATTAGGTTTAAGGTTGCTTTCTGCTTCTGTAAAAGATTGCTTGCAAAGAATAGAAAAGAGATACTCAATATTACACCCCACCCGCTTGTGGGTTTTGTCTTTATAAACCCTGTGAAGCTGCTCTTGTGGGTCAAGAGTCCCTTCTGGTGTGAGCCACCTCTAGACCCCAGAATTAAAGGACTTAAAGCTTGATTCGGTCTCAGAGTGCTTGGCGACTCCGTATAGTCCATCTCGCTTTTAATATATAATGTTATCAGCAGGTGTGAGGGAGTTTAAAACATTTTTAAAAAGCCAGCCAGTGGGGGTACCCTCACCTGCCTATTGGTCTTGGGGATAGGTCTGTGTTACAGAGTTTGTATTGTTCCCTCCATTGAGTACCAGGGCCCCTCAGTGGAGCCAGGGTTCCTGGGGTCACCACAAAGCATAGGTCCCTGACTTTTGCAGGTGAGAAGAGACAGCTGAATGAGTGGGGATTGTGGGACAGTCCAGGGGAGGTGGATGTTATCTGCCACACACAGCTACTTCCTCCTTCCTCATTATGCTTACTGGCCTCCCTGAATACCCCATTCCTTTTGGGCTTGCTTTCCCTAGCACCTGCATTTCCCACAGTGTCTTTAAATGAGAAAATAGAGCAGGGATGGGCAAGCAACCCTCCCACCGCACTGCAAACACACTGCACATCAAACTTAATCTGATTAGTCTACAGATGACCCTTCCCATCCCATCTTCCACCCAGTGCTTTACTGAACCCACTGGAAGGTATTTAAATCCTAAAGAAATTTGCTATTCCTCAAGCAGAAACGTTGTCCTGTGCCTCACTGCCTTGGGTGTGCTCTGGCATGCTGGAGAGAGCAGGTGCTTTTCCTTTAGTTGGAGGATAATAAGATAGAAGCCCAGACCTTTATTTCACTGGTACCAGGCAGAGCCACCTTTGGGTGTACTCCTCTAACTCTGGCTTTGTCTTAGGGTGGGTTCTTTAGAGAAGCAAAACCAATAAAGCTTATATATATATATAAATAGGAGCTCTGGTAGCATAGTGGCTAAGACACTTGATTGCTAACCAGAAGGCTGGCAGTTCAAACCCACCAGCCACTCCTTGGAAGGAAGATGGGGCAATCTAATTCCGTAGTGATAGTGCCTCGGAAACCCAAGGAGGGGTCGCTATGAGTCGGGTCCAACTCGACGGCACGTAACAACAACAACAACATATATATAAATACATACAGAGAGATTTATCTGAAGGAGATGGCTCATGCAGTTGTAGAAGTTGACAAGTCCCAAGTCCGTAGGTCTGACATCAGGCTGGAGGCTTCTGACCCACACAGCTGAAGGAGCTGATGAGTCCAGCATTGGTAGGCAGCATCACAGACTGCTGGCTTTAGAGGCTGACAAATCCCAGACCAGCAAATAAAATGGCAGGTTGTTGGCTCCCAGAATGCAAAGGCACCAGTCCCAAGATTGGCAGGCAGTAGGGCAGGCCACTGGTTCAAGTTCAGATGATGATGAGCCAGATGAAGAATCTCAAGCAAAAAGCCCAGAGGGCTGTGCCAGAGCTTTTCTGTATATATTGGAAGCAGGCCACACCCTGAAGGAAACTCCCTTTCAGCTGATTGACTGTTCAATAGCAGATCTCATCATGGAGGTGATTACATTGTATCAGATCTCACTGTGGGGGATGAGTACATCATGACTACTAAACCACTTAAAATCGTGGTTCAGCCAAGTTGACACACAACCTTATGTTGTAGGAAGGTGAGGCAGTAGGAGGATCCCAGTGACTTGCCCAGTATGAGGGATACCTCCTGGAGGCCTAGGCAGTGTGATGTGGGAAAGAGCCTAGGAACTTGCTGATTCAGTAGAAGAGTTCAGCTTCTAACACTAGGTCAGAGTCTCAGTGTTGACAGTTCTCCAAAATTACCTGTAGAATTAAAAATGCAGGTGCCTAGCCACCCCCCCGCCCCGACATTGGATCCAGTAGATCTGGGGTGGGATCTGATACTAACCCAGGACTCAACACCACTTAGAGGCACTAGGCCCTGAGAATGGCATGATTCCTTCTTCTGCCTTCCCAGCCATTAGCCCACAGCAGGGAAGGGAAACAAGGAAACCAGCAGGTGTAATTACAGGCGCAAAGGAGGATTGCCCTGGAGAATCAGGGAGGGTTTTCCAAAGAGGACACAGTGCTGGAGAATACGGTACCCCAGGCAGGGTGCCTGCCCCAGGGTGGATGCTCGAGGGGTAGGTAAGATTGAAGCAGGAGAAGAAGCCAGCAGACCCCAGGAAGGGCCTCTGGGATTGTACTTGGAAGAGTTTCTGCTCTCACACCACTGAAGGGTAACCCAAGTAACTTGGGAAAAAGAAATTGGGTCCTGTTCATGCCTTTGATTTCATTCGTTTCTGGTTTTAATAGTTCCTGAATTTGATATTTTGTTGTTGCAGAGTGACTTTTCTACCAAGTCTTTATGTCTTCAGTCTGTTAATCCTCTGACTTAACCAGACCTCCATGGTGGCTTTCTTGGTCTTGGCATCTGCCTGCATTAGAGGAGGCTAGCAGGGGCAGCCAGGCACCTTTGTTCATAACCACTCACACTCTCTCAGCTTGTTTTTCCATAATAATCCCACTTCACAGGATGCTGAAAGTATTGAGAGAATGTCTGTGAAGAGCTTTGGAAACTGTAACATTGCTCTTCAGATGTAGGAGACTATGGTATTTTGGGGACAAGCTTATTTTATCTGACTAGCATTGTCTGAAATTATCGTCAGTAGTGGTGTCTCAAAACTCCTGCTCTAAGAAGTGAAAAGTCGTAACTAGTGAGAGAAATCTCCATCTTTCTTGCCTAGTTTTCTTAAAATGCAAAATAAAAAAGCCACAAAACTAGGGACAAAGACTTTATGTTATAGAGGCTTACTTGTTGCTTGCTAGGAGCAGCTTTCTAGTTTTTCCCAGGACCTTTTCTTTCTCAGTGTTAGCATGGCTCTGCTTCCACAGGTTGCCATAGATATCCAGATCCATTTAATATTGTAGTTTTTGTTTGCAGGCTCAATGTCAGACCAGGAATTGGAGGTGTCCGGTCTCGTGTTGGAATCCAGCAGAGCCTTCCCAGCCAGCCACCACGCACAGCCACCTTCCAGCAGAGGTTTGATGCCCGTCAGAAGATCGGCCTTTCAGATGCCCGGCTTAAGCTGGGAGTCAAGGATGCCCGGGAGAAGCTTTTGCAGAAAGATGCCCGGTTTCGGATCAAAGGGAAAGTACAGGATGCGAGAGAGATGCTGAACTCCCGCAAGCAGCAAAGCACAATGCCCCAGAAGCCGCGCCAGGTAGCCGATGCCCGAGAGAAGATCAGCTTGAAGCGTAATTCCCCTGCTGCCTTCATGAACCCAGCCGTCAGCACAGTGACCCCTGTTCTGAAGCTCACCAAAACCATCCAGGTCAGTTACGATTCTGGCACAAATTTTCAGACAGCTCGTGATAAGGATAGATGTCGGCAGTATTTGGGCAAAAACGACAATTCTGAGTGTTAGGCTAGCACTTTGCTACTCGCAAAGGCCTTTTATGTATATAGTATCCAACCTTTCAGCTAGTACTTGAGCAGTTAACCATTGGTGCCACCTAGGGGCTCCTCTGGGTCTCAGAGATACACTAAACATCGTGCCCAAAGTTACACAGCTGCCAGTGGGAGGAGGGCGGGAGGGAGCTCAGTCCAATCTAGCTCCTAGTCCAGTGCCCCATCCCCCCGACCACAGCCGCTGCCCCAGAAGAAAGCACATCTACCGCAGCCACTGTAGCAGGAGCAGCAGCTGCACTGAATCCTCCATATGCCTTCTCACAGTCTCTGGGATGAAGGTTTCCTTTCATTTTCTGCTTTGAGGGGTGAGACACTCTGTAATGCCTTTTACCAGACTAAAATGGGGTGCCCACCATCTTTGAGTGTTCTCCTCATAGAGAAGGTATGTGCACCCTGTGGGATAAATTATGACCACTGGTGTTTCTAGGTTCCCCAGCAGAAGACCGTGGTACCGCTTCATGCCCATCCTGCTGGAATGAGGATCAACGTTGTCAATAACCACCAGGCCAAACAGGTAGGGTGTGTGTGTGTATGTGTGTGTGTGTGTGTACACAGACACATGTTCGGTGCGGTGTGCTAGATGGATAGAACCTGGCCCAAGGTTCCCAGTGAAGTATTAGAGGAGGGCTTACGTTTGACTGTTTACAGTTGATGAATTTTAAGAAACCTCTTAATGGGTAAGGAAGGGCAGCGAGAGGCATAAAAGCACATTAAAAGTCTTAAATCTTTTTGTGTATCTGATACAGAAAATTTGCAAAACAGATTAAGGAGAAGTTCCTCCTGCTCTTGCTGTCCAAAGCCAATCACTGTTGGAATTTTGCCATAAGTCGCTCCTGTTTTTCAAGGGCCATCATTCATCGAATGCATAGCTGTGATTGTATTCTTACCCAGTTATGTCAATTTTTTCACATTATAGCTCAAACATTTTTCTGTGATGTTTCACATTTACTGTAAATAACATTTTAATAACTGTATAATTCATTGCGCTGATGTTCCACTGTTTATTTAAACAATTTTCCTCTCATTTTCTCTGTTAGAAATCCTTGTGCCATGAAAGTCTTCATTGATAAGTCTCTCTCTAGATTTTGGGTTTCTTTCAATAGACTGGATTCCCCGGGGTGGACTGACTTTTTTTTTTTTTT